CCATTGCTTACCAGAATGCAAGACGGCCTCAAACATATGCGAGCAAGTTTGTATAGCTGAAGTATGACATTCTCGATGTAAAAATAGGAGAACTTACAATACAATGTTTTAGCAGTGTGAAATAATTCTCTCAATTGTTGTGCAGCCGCCTAATTAATACGTAGGTCCCTGCACAAAACAATAAGATGGTACTAGATGCTAAAAAAATAAATACACATACCTCTTCTCAATGAACTATGCTATTGTGGAATCAACAATTGAAAGAGGCATTGATGCCTTCTTTAGCAAGGAGTTGCTAAATTGTGTTGTCACAAAACACACCCTCATACTATGCCTCTGAAAGGCCAAGCTTAGGAGAACACTCTCCTAATTCTGCCAATAGGGCATGACTTGGCTAAAAAGCACATGCCAAAGAAATATTTCACCACCAGCCCAATGGAACTCAGGGTGTCTAGGAACAACATCTAGCATCTCATTGTCACTTGTGCTTTCCATGCCAAAGCAACCAAGAAGTTTGTGTTTCAGCCATTGCACCTATGAGAGAACTTTAACGTCCCCCTGTGCCCTTAACTCAAAGGTTGTGGTGGCATCCTATAAAGCAAAAACCTCCTCATGTTGTAGCATGATGACGTTAACACTATCCTAAGTGGTTAGTTGAACAGTTTCATTAAATGCATTGGTGGCATCAATTCATTGTTGTTGACACTCCAACAATCTACATACAAACGTTAGTTCAATTTCAAAAAGCACAATTTTTAATTATTTTACTCCACTATAGAAAAGTTGTCAAGCAACTCCATAAGAGTAAGAGGAGTGGAGCTACTTCCCTCTAGAAAGGGGGGGTGGAAGCACACCATAGTCTTCAATGCCTACATTGCTCATAAAAATATTTGAAACCAATCACTAACAAACCAAATTACCTTCCACATCTGCTACCAAGAAACATGCCAAATAATAGAGCACTAAATTTTGTGTTACAGACATGTGGACTATTTGTGTTTAGGAAAGGAGCCACATATTGGCATCCCAAGATGCCAATACATTCTAGGATGTTGCAACAAAAAGAGTGGGACATGGTAAGTTAAGCTTAAAGCATAAGTTTTATATGCTTTTCATTTCTATATGCACAAGCTATCTTTGTGGGCTGGTTGCTATTCCAAGCATTCGAATGTAATGCACAGGTATCTCACATGTGTATAATTGCAATATTGGCAATTGCAGCCAAAGAGGTTCCAAATGAGAATGATTGATGACTTGCCTGAGGAGGACTATATGAGATGGACCTCAAGGAATGCATGCCATATATCTAGAATGCACTCAACCAATTGCAAGGTGCATTAAGCTTAAAGGAGGAGGGCGATCAACGCAAGTCTATGGATTCCATCCTAGAGAACTCAGCAATTACTAAGTAGGGTGCTAAGGCAAGAAAGTGTCTCCTAAACCCTATGACCTATGTCATAGGGTCAAATTTGGCATCTATGTATAGCACAATGTTCATATTATAGCAACTCATCGGGCCAACATCCATGGGGCATCCATGAGGCATCCAAATGACATTTAATGCCAAACTAATAGAAAACTATCACATGGACACGTGAGTGAAATCCACTGCAGTAACATCCACCTTTTTACAAATTGCACACTATACAATCCATGCTTTTACCATTGTTTTGGTTTTCTTCTCTCTCTCTCTCTCGCAACAGGCTTTTAAACTAGAGAATCCTGGATGCGAATTTTTGAGAAACTTCATGCATATCTACATGGTTCTCAGACGTTACTTAAAGGTGATTATGCTGCCGTTACTTCTTGGTCCCTCAGGTATTACATGCTCTTCCACCATTGCGAAGTTATTTGTGGCCATGTCACTATGACATGCCTGGCAGAAACGCAGCGTAGGCGCTTTCATCATCATGCCACACCGTGGCCTGTCGGGTCATTGCTAAGCACTTGCACACTTTCTCTTTACTGCTGATGTTACACACAGGTAAGCGCGAGTGAGCAAGCGAGCACAAGCGAGCGAGCAAAGCAAAGCAAAGCCAAGCAAGCAAACGTGAGTGGAAATCTCGCAGGAACTTGAATGGATTGCTGCAAGCTACCTAGGCCTGCATACGCTCTGCTTGCTTGTCGAGCGAGAGGAACAAAGTGATGTGAAATCCAGTCCAAGCTTCTGTTCATCCAGGGATTGCGAAGAGAGATATGGATAGCGTAGGACTTTTGGATCGATCAGTATGAACTCAATCAGCCCGACTTGTATGGATAAGTTGGAACTTTTGGATTGATCAGTTTGACTATGAACTTATAATAAGATCCTAGAGCGTTGGATAAGTGGAACTTGATCTTAGTAAGCTTATACTTCTATTGGGGTTTCTTTTTCTTATAGACAGGGAAAAAACGAAACAAGCAAGCGACAAAAGTTTCACTTTGAAACTCTCGATTGTTTTCTCTTTTCTGCGATGGATTTTGTCTTGATGATCGACTTCATCGGTTCTTCTTTAAGCCCTAGACTCTTCAGGCGCCGACACCCAGGAAACCTATGAAATCCTGGGTGGGCTAGTTGCGATCTTCGTCGCCGACGTCCTGGGAAGACTGCTCCACGCTGATGCACGAAATCGCACTGTCGGATGCGCTGAGTTGCTACTGCTGTTGATCGAGACGGTAGAGATGAGCCTGGTGCTGGAATTGGTGCTGCGTCTTCTTCCACAGCTCGAGCTGGAGGTCACTGGCGAGATTGCCGCTGGACGGCTCGTTTGCATGGCCCCGGCTTCTAATCGCATTGCTGCTTTTCTTCACGGTAGCATTGTCTGTGGACGTGAAATCCGTGCTACTGGCCGCTCAAGGCGTCGCGTAAGTTGTTTTGCCCGCCACCATTTTGCTGGCTTCGATGATTTTGCTCATGGTGGTGGTGGCGGCCATAAAACCCCTCCGCGAAGCTCGGAGCTGATCCTCCTCCAAGAAACGGAGCCAGCAAAGTTCCTGACGGCATCACACGATATATATCAGACCATGATGGCATTCTACCCTCCCCGGATTGAATCCCATCAAATTGCTCGCGCGATGATGGAGATTATCCATCCACGCCGCCGCCGCCGCCGCTGTTGCCGAGCTGCTTGTTGGGCGATCCTCCGCGTCCACCAGGCTCCGCTTGGACGGCAGCAGCACCGGCGTGGATCCCCTGTTTAGCAGCAAATTGTGGTGATCGAGCTGCTGCGATGGTGGCGCGGGATGATCGGATTTCACGGCGGTGGTCACGGTGTTCTTCCTGGTGGAGGCGGCGTTGGGCGATCGACCGTATGTCCGCGTCCGCTCGCTGTACTTCCTGGCCATGACGACGTGCCAGTGGTTCTTGACTGCATTGTCGGTTCTACCCGGGAAGAGCCGCGCGATCATCGCCCACTTGTTGCCGTGGAATCTGTGCGCCGCCAGCAGCCGCTCCTCCTCCTCCTCCGGGAACGGCTGCCGGCGTGGGAGAGCGTCGCTTGGAACACGCTCATCGCTGGGTTGGGTCTGCGATCGCGGATCTCCGAGGCAAAGTCACTGTTTGATCGAATGCCCGCAACGAAGAACATCATCTCGTGGATGTCGATGATCCGGGGATTCGTCGAGACAGGCAGCGTGGATGATGCTAAAAAGCTCTTCGAGGATGGGATCCAGCGTCTTGGAACTTGGTTCTCCAGGCGTATGCCCAGAGCGGGCATACTGAGAGCGTCAAGAGCGTGTTCCAGGAGATGCCCGAGAAATCTCTCCTCGCCCACGTCTTCCCCATCGCGGCATTCGCGCAGGGAGGCCAGATCGCGGAGGCCAAGAGCGCGTTCGATCGGATGGTCCGGCTGGACATCACGGCCTGGAACACGATCATCGCTGCCTACTGCGGCGATCACGATCCAGGCTTGAAGAACGCGCGCAGGGGATTCGATCGGGCTCCCAAGCGCGACATCGTGTCGTGGAACACGATCATCAGTGGCTACGTCCAGCGCGAGAATCTGGAGGAGGCCAAGCTCCTGTTTGATGCCATGCCCGAGAAGAACAGAGTCTCTTGCAATGCGATGCTCGCTGGCTACTCCAATCGATGCCTCTTCCACTCCATGACCCAGTCTGCGACCACGCAGCCGGATCGCCTGTCGGATCGGCCGGCTGGGCGACGCGATCGATCTGGCGATGAGCATGCCGTTCGTCCCGGACGAAGTGGAGCTCACATCTTTACTCAGTGCTTACGGTTTACATCGTGACGCCGACCAGGCCGCACGGGCAGCCATGGCGTATCTCCCACGCGATCCTCGCCGTACGTGCTCCTCTCCAATGCTTTTGTACAGGAGGTAACGCCGTTCTTGGCACCAGGTAATTATGCTACGCAAATGGCTTTCGAGTTCTTCTCCATATACCCAAACTGGGCATACTTCTATATCGAAAGGTTGCATGGCTTGAGTCTTTGTGATATTCCATTTGCTTGCAGCGCCAGCTTGATTGAAGCTGCCAACCTCTTGGAGAATGTGTATGAAGAATTATCTGTTCACTGACACATTTTTCTCTTGTGAAGTGGGCAAAGTGTGGCTTTTTATTATTTTGATCCAAAACTTCTACCTGTGCATTCAATCTTGTGTGACACTTTTTGATACGTTCTAAAAGCCCATTATTCAAGTGATGGTCAGGATGCTTAAAATTCTGTGCGGCAAGCAGGTTTTACATGGAGAGCTTGGGTGGCTGCTACGGATCTCCTCCGGGAATCGGACGAGTGAAAGGCTGAGCGAAGGCTGGGCTCTTACGTAAGGTGCCTTTCTGGTATATCTTCATCTGCTTTTCAAGTCCATCAATCACTCAAACTTGATTCAAGATGCAGGAAAAGCTGGGGAAAAGCTACAGAAAAATGCGGCTTGGGTCCAAGAATGAATAAAGCACTGATCTGATCGCTTCTCCAGCATCGCCGAATCTTCTCCAACGAAGTGGAGCTCGCATCTTTGCTAAGTGCGTGTTGTATCACGCGGCCTTCGTACAAGAGGTGAGACAACGAGAAAAAGAACTTGAGGCAACATGGCTTTCGGTGGACCTCCAACGTGGAAAGTAGATCACAAATGGGCATATATGATTCCCACATTTTCTGTGGAATGCATAGCGCATCTTTGCTTGGGGTGATCTCAAGAGGTTCTTGCTTAACTTGCGACGCGCCAGCGATCTTTCCCCTCCTCTGCTCCTCGTCCTGCCTGGCCCGCGCGAAATTCAATCTCCCGGCCATTGATTGCGAGTCTTGCGTGGGATTCGTGTCTCCATTGCCTCAGATTCCTAGCTCGCCCCGACTTGCATTCCGCTCAATCCCTTCACCAAAGCCCTCCCCTATCCACATCGCCAGGAATTTGGTCTGAATTTCTTGCTGACCGCAGGTAACGCGAGAGCTTCCACATTCCGGGAGCTGATCGGCCATGCCAAGGAGGAGAAAGACGCCCAGAGAGGATGAGAAAGGATCTTCTCCACCTTCGTCAAGCGGAGCTTCTCCACAGCCGCCGCCCCGTGCCGCCGCGAGCTCCAGCTCAAGCTCCACTCCGCCACCGCAAGCTTCACAAGATGCTTTAGCCATGGCCAGGCATCCACAATACTCGCAGCATTACCAAGTAGGAGGAACTAGTGGTGGAAGGAGTGGAGGTCAGTATAGTCAATCAAGTAGTGGCCGTGGAGGAGGAGGAACGGGAGGATATCATGGGCAGCAGCAGCCACAGCATCAGCAACAGCCGCGACAAGCTCCAGCAGTGAGCGCACTGGTTGAGCAATTTTCTGGATTGGGTGTGGAAGTTTCAGTTCCTGCGCAACCAGCGCCACCGCAGCCGAGCGTCGTAGCTCCTCCAGCGTCTATCAAGGCCTTGAGATTTCCGCTGAGGCCCGGACGCGGCCAAACGGGGGTTAAGTGCATTGTCAAGGTGAATCACTTCTTGGCAGAGCTACCAGACAAGGATCTACACCACTATGATGTAAGTTTCTTCCTGTCACGAGCTAGTGTTTGCATCCAATTGGCTTGTTTTGCTTGCGCAGGTGACGATCACTCCCGAGGTGACATCGCGTGGTGTGAATCGAGCGGTCATGGAGCAGCTGGTTAAGCTTCACAGGGATTCCAGTTTGGGTCACAGGCTCCCAGTGTATGATGGCCGGAAAAGCCTGTACACTGCTGGGCCTTTACCCTTCCATTATAAGGACTTTCAGGTAAGTCTGCCGGAGGAAGATACACCAGTGTAGCTTAGCTTTTCTTTTCTTTTACAGCATACTGAAGAAAAGCATAAAATATCTTTCAGGTGATCTGCATCATCTTGGCCAGTTTCTGGCCGGGAGGCAAGCAGATGCTCCTCAAGAGGCCTTGCAAGTGCTGGACATAGTGCTGCGAGAGCTTCCTACCCATAGGTTCGCTCCTCTTTTCTTTGGTATCGGGTTTTTATGTGTTTCTTTTGAGTTCTTCCAGGTATTCGCCTGTTGGACGATCGTTTTATTCACCAGACTTAGGACGTAGACAACCCCTCGGTGACGGCTTAGAAAGCTGGCCAGGGTTCTACCAGAGTTTAGGCCCACGCAAATGCGTCTTTCTCTGAATATTGGTAAGGATTATGAAATGTGATGGTATGTGTTCTGATCTATTGTTGAAGACATGTCATCTACTGCTTTCATTGAGCCGCTGCCCGTGGTGGACTTTGTTGGCAAACTCCTTAACAAGGACATAAGCAGGCCACTTTCGGACGCTGACCGCATCAAGGTAAAGTCCCAGCTTGGTTTGCGAAGAGCGATTTTAAGATAGATCTGATTTTCTGTGCCAGATCAAAAAAGCTCTGAGAGGGGTCAAAGTGGAAGTTACACATCGCGGAACCATGCGACGAAAATACAGGATTTCTGGCTTAACTTCTCAGCCTACTCAAGAACTAATGTAAGTGTTTCTGATTGTTTGTTTTGTGTCTTATTTTGGGTTTGCAGGTTTCCTGTTGATGATAGAGGTACAATGAAATCGGTAATGGAGTATTTCCGAGATACATATCACTACACTATACGAAGCCCATCTTTACCTTGTTTACAAGTTGGAAATCAAGAAAGACCAAATTATCTGCCAATGGAGGTGTGCAGTTTTCGTAGGCATGCAACGAACTAAGTTCATTTTTGGCTGGTTAACAGGTCTGCAAAATTGTGGAAGGACAAAGGTATACTAAACGTCTCAACGAGCGTCAAGTGACAGCCCTTCTAAAAGTAACATGCCAACGGCCCAGGGAAAGAGAGCGCGATATTTTGCAAGTAGGATAAGAATCTTTTCCCGTTTTTGTCTCTATTTTTATTTAACTGTTCTTATGTTTTGTGCTAGACTGTTTATCATAATGCATATAATCAAGACCCATACGCCCAGGAGTTTGGGATGCGTATCAGTGACAGACTGGCTCTCGTGGAAGCTAGAATACTGCCTGCCCCATGGGTTTGTGTTTCTTCTCTTTTGTTGTCATACAATGTTCTTAAAAAATGCGGGTTTGCAGCTGAAATATCATGAAAAGGATTGCTTGCCTCAAGACGGGACCTGGAATATGATGAACAAGGTAAGCGTGCTTGGAAGAAAACTGTTCTTTTTTAATTCATATGTCTCCAGAAAATGGTCGATGGAGGGACAGTGAACTACTGGGCATGCGTCAATTTCTCTCGTACTGTTCAAGATAATATAGCTCGGGGATTTTGTAACGACCTTGCTCAGATGTGTCTTATTTCCGGAATGGTACGGCTTTAAGAATGATCTTCAGTTTACTAATCGTATATGACATGCAGGCGTTTGCTGCTGAACCTATCATTCCAGTTCATGCTGCACGCCCAGACCAGGTAGAACGTGCTCTGAAGTCGGTATATCGTGAAGTTCAAAGCAAGGTCAAAGGAAAGGAATTAGAGTTACTAATTGCCATATTACCCGACAACAATGGCTCACTTTATGGTAAGAGACTTGGTTTTTTACAGATTTGCTGATAAGTTTTATTCCAGGCGACTTGAAACGAATCTGCGAAACAGACCTGGGATTGGTTTCTCAATGCTGCTTGACAAAGCATGTCTTTAAGAGAGGAAAGCAGTATCTTGCTAATGTTGCGTTGAAAATCAATGTCAAGGTAGGGCGCTTCATGCACGATGTTCGTGAATAAGCTCAACAAGTTTGTTGTAAGGTCGGAGGCAGAAACACTGTCTTGGTGGATGCACTATCACGGAGGCTTCCTTTAGTAAGTGATACACCAACAATTATATTTGGAGCGGATGTTACGCATCCTCATCCTGGAGAAGATTCGAGTCCCTCGATTGCAGCGGTAAGTGTACGATTTTTCTTTTCGTGTGTCTCTAAATAAGCTGTGCCTGTTACAGGTTGTCGCTTCTCAGGATTGGCCAGAAGTCACGAAATACGCAGGTCTAGTGTGCGCTCAAGCTCACAGACAAGAGTTGATCCAAGATCTGTATAAAACATGGGTTGATCCTCAGAAGGGAACCATGAATGGCGGTATGATAAGGTTAGTAGCGGTGAGTTTTTTGTTTTACTTATTGTGCTAACATATGCAAACTTTAGAGAGCTTTTGATTTCCTTCCGAAGTGCCTCTGGATACAAACCTGGAAGAATCATCTTCTACAGAGATGGTGTGAGCGAAGGACAGTTCTACCAAGTTCTCCTTCACGAGTTGGATGCAATTAGAAAGGTTTAGTATGGAAAGACTTGGCGCATTGACTGATTCAGCTCTTCGTTTTGGACAGGCTTGCGCGTCACTCGAGCCGAACTATCAGCCTCTCGTGACGTTCGTTGTGGTCCAGAAACGGCACCACACCCGGCTATTTGCTAACGATCACGACGATACAAGAACCATTGATAAGAGTGGAAATATCCTGCCAGGTGCTGTTGCCGTTAATAAGTGGCGAATTTAGATAACTAATGAGAGACCGTTTTCCTTCACAGGCACTGTGGTGGATTCGAAGATTTGCCATCCAACGGAGTTTGACTTCTACCTTTGCAGCCATGCCGGCATTCAGGTAAGTTGATGGAGCCCTGGCCTTTGTAGCTTTGCTCATACGACGAGATTATGTTACAGGGAACAAGCAGACCAGCTCACTATCACGTACTTTGGGACGAGAACAAGTTCACTGCCGATGGCTTGCAGTCCCTCACCAACAGCCTGTGCTACACTTACGCTCGCTGCACACGCTCAGTCTCGATAGGTAAAGACCATAGCTCTTTCCCATAGGCTTTGACAACTAAAGCACAAAGCAATCGTCTTTTTCTTTCAGTACCACCTGCATACTACGCTCACCTGGCTGCGTTCCGCGCGAGATTCTACATGGAGCCGGACGCGTCCGAGGCTGGCTCCGTCCACCGGAACACTGCTCCCCGAGCTGGTAATCGCCAGGATGGCTCCATCCGGCCGCTGCCCGCGTTGAAGGACAAGGTTAAGAAGGTCATGTTCTACTGCTAGTCAGTATGCTACTACTCTCTTTTGCTTTTATCTCGCGTTTTTAATCTATCTGACTCCTGTTGCTTTCGCATACTTAAGTGTCCCACTAGGGGGACCTCGGTGTCAAAGTCGCGCCTTGTGTTTACTCCTGGTGGTGTACTCCATTTCGGATTCTACACTTCCACTACTGCTTCCAGTGGTAGCCAGCCCAGTCCTCGAGCGCGCAGGCTCAATGATGAAACCACCATGAAGCAGCAACAAACAAAGGAGGATCCTTGAAATCCAGCACCATAAATGCCGAGCCAGGGCGATGCAAATTGCTAACAACAAAACGCAGTCTGGAGCAGCAGCAGCAGCAGCGCAGCGCGCAGCAGTCGAACAACAGAGGATTGTCTTCACTCTCCTGGCAAAACGGTACTGCTTTCTTTCGCTTCGTTTCCATCCATGCTCTTACCGTTGTGGCTTTGTTTATAGTTTTCTTTTGGCTCGTCTCGGCTTGGCTCTCTCTCTCTCTCTCTCTCGCTCGAGCACAGTAGGCTTTTAAACCAAAGAATCCTGGATGCGAATTTATGGTCCCTCGGGTATGACATGCTCTCTCACCATTGCGTTGGAAGTTATTTGTGGCCATGTCACTATGACATGCCTGGCAAAAACGCAGCGTAGGCGTTTTCATCATCATGCCACACTGTGGCCTGCCTGGTCGTTGTTAAGCACTCGCACACTTTCTCTTTACTGCTAATGTCACACAGGTAAGCGCGAGTGAGCAAGCGAGCACAAGCGAGCGAGCAAAGCAAAGCAAAGCCAAGCAAGCAAACGTGAGTGGAAATCTCGCAGGAACTTGAATGGATTGCTGCAAGCTACCTAGGCCTGCATACGCTCTGCTTGCTTGTCGAGCGAGAGGAACAAAGTGATGTGAAATCCAGTCCAAGCTTCTGTCCATCCAGGGATTGAGAAGAGAGAGATGGATAGCGTAGGACTTTTGGATCGATCAATATGAACCCGTCCGACTTGTATGGATAAGTTGGAACTTTTGGATTGATCAGTTTGACTATGAACTTATAAGATCCTAGAGCCTTGGATAAGTGGAACTTGATCTTAGTAAGCTTACACTTCTATCGGGGTTTTTTTTTCTTATAGACAGGGAAAAAACGAAACAAGCAAGCGACAAAAGTTTCGCTTTGAAACTCTCGATTGTTTTCTCTTTTCTGCGATGGATCTTGTCTTGATGATCGACGATCAGGCGCCGACACCCAGGAAATCTATGAAATCCTGGGCGGGCTTGTTGTGATCTTCGTCGCCGACGTCCTGGGAAGACTGCTCCACGCTGATGCACGAAATCGCACCGTCGGACGCGCTGAGTTGCTGCTGCTGTTGATCGAGACGGTAGAGATGAGCCTGGTGCTGGAATTGGTGCTGCGTCTTCTTCCACAGCTCGAGCTGGAGGTCACTGGCGAGATTGCCGCTGGACGGCTCGTTTGCATGGCCCCGGCTTCTAATCGCATTGCTGCTGTTCTTCACGGTAGCATTGTTTGTGGACGTGAAATCCGTGGTACTGCTCGTGGTGCCGCTCAAGGCGTCACGTAAGTTGTTTTGCCCGCCACCATTTTGCTGGCTTCGATGATTTTGCTCATGGTGGTGGTGGCGGCCATAAAACCCCTCCGCGAAGCTCGGAGCTGATCCTCCTCCAAGAAACGGGGCCAGCAAAGTTCCTGACGGTATCACACGATATATATCAGAACATGATGTAGATCCAGACATAAAGAGCATGCGATTTGGAAGAGAGAGAATAAGAACACACACACACGCACTCGTGGATATGGAACTTCTAGAGGAGAGCTTACCTGGTCTTAACGTATTGGGGCCACTGCTGCTGCTGGTGGTCGTCGTGGATGGAGCTTGATCCCTGCCCGGGAAGAAGGGGACCCTCCCCGGATTGAATCCCATCAAATTGCTCGCGCGATGATGGAGATTATCCATCCACGCCGCCGCCGCCGCCGCTGTTGCCGAGCTGCTTGTTGGGCGATCCTCCGCGTCCACCAGGCTCCGCTTGGACGGCAGCAGCACCGGCGTGGATCCCCTGTTTAGCAGCAAATTGTGGTGATCGAGCTGCTGCGATGGTGGCGTGGGATGATCGGATTTCACGGCGGTGGTCACGGTGTTCTTCCTGGTGGAGGCGGCGTTGGGCGATCGACCGTATGTCCGCGTCCGCTCGCGGTACTTCCTGGCCATGACGACGTGCCAGTGGTTCTTGACTGCATTGTCGGTTCTACCCGGGAAGAGCCGCGCGATCATCGCCCACTTGTTGCCGTGGAATCTGTGCGCCGCCAGCAGCCGCTCCTCCTCCTCCTCCGTGAACGGCTGCCGATTTATCCGCGGGTCGAGCTGATTGAACCACCGCAGCCTGCAGCTCTTGCCTGGAAAGAAAAATCGCGATGATCGTGTGAGACGACGATGGTCACCGGGGATATCGATCGCGATAGAACTCCAGGGGATCAGATGAGACAAGGAGAGAAAGAAAAGAGATTGGAAGAAAAGGAATGATCTTTCCGGCGATTGCGAGCGAGCAAAACAATGCGCCGGGAAAAGAGCGATTTTGGGGAGATGGGCAGCTTTACCGCGTCCCAAAATCCGTGGCGGGCGGATCAAGCGCGCCGGGGGGAAGAGACACCCAAGAACAAACAAGCCAAGCCATGCCAAACAAGAAAACCCAAGAACCTAGGAAAAAACGAAGGAAGGACGAGGATTACTATCCTACTCGCTCGCTAGATCTCTCTCTCCCTCCCATTTTTTATGTCTAGACTCTCTCAATTTCCTCGTCTTTTACCTGATCGCCCCTGGAGCTTCTCCGCGATCATGTTCCAGTTCTGTGGGCCGTGGAGCGCGACGAGCTCCTTGAGCTTGTCGTCCTCGCCCGGCCGCCAATGCCCGCGCGGGCAATGCTTGGATTGCGCGCCGCCGCCGCCACTGAGATCGCTCTTCCCGGCGGTGGCGCCACCGCTGCCGCCATTGTCGATCTCCAGGAGATTCGCACTGCTGCTGCTGGGCGACGACGAGGCGCCCGCCGCCCCATCGTTCTCGTTGGTCGACTCCTTCATCTCATCGTCGTCATCCTCCTCCTCCGCGAGCTCCCTCGATCCATTCCCACTCCCACCATCGCCGCGATCACGATCTAGGACTACCTCCTCGTCTAGCCGTCCTAAAACCACTCGTCGGCGATCCTCCTCCTCCATTCCCTCCTCTCCAATTCTTCTTCCGCCATGCCCCCCTGTGGATCGAGGAGAGCTCATCCCGGGAAAGAGTGGAATCTTCCCAAAGCCCAGCAGCGCCGCGGATGGTTTTCCCTTGCCGAATCCTCCCCCAAGCGACAAAAAATCGTCGCCATCGCTCATCTCTCCTCTCTCGTCCTCCTCTCGCCTCTCAAAAAATCACCACCCAGGAGATTTTGTAGCACTGCTCGCCCGCGGAGAAGAAGAAAAACAAATTAATTCTTTTCATGAAAGAAAATCCACTGCACAAAATTGATTTTTTCGAAAAAGAAAATCCAACTTTTATACGTCTAAACTAAACACGCGGGTTATCATAAAGCAACCTGGGTTTTTACGATATAATCCAACCACCTTTAACATTTTAACCAACCGGCCAAACCCCCCAACCTACCCTTCGTTTTCAACGACATCCTTCCATTCATGTCGTACACGTCACTTTGCCGTCCCGTCCCGTCATTGCCTTCCTCGCAGCAACTAATCTGCTGCAGTGATCGCGGCCGCTCATTATCAGAGCAAGCCCGCCCCACATCACGGCTTAAGACACAAACGGTCGCTCGTGCTTTGTGGCTGCCAGCCGCATATTCACCTCCCACGGCAACGCATATTCTGGTGTGGTCAACCCTAGCTAGAGAGCGAATTACTACGCAATGTGATATTTTGTGAGTGAAATACGTGTAAGCTTGTGCTAAGTTTTGTTTTCTAAAAAATGAGATATGATTTCTTTGTTTTCTAGATGACTACCAGTTTCTTTTCTATGCATTGTCTATTTTTTCAGAAATGAAAAAAATCGAAGAAAGGTGACGGCCCCGTTGACCTGCCTGTTTTGTAACGTTTTAGAAATGCTTATAATCTGTGACGGCAGCAATCCAAAATCTCACGTTACAAATTTCTTATAGCCAGCGCAGCGGGTTTGGAGAGATTTTCTTCTTTCTTTGTAGCGAGATTGAGATCCACGACGGGGTCCTTCATGGATTTTTAAGCAAGAGAGAAATGGAACGGAGAGAGAGGAGAGGGCCTAGCGGTTGCTCAAACATCGATCATCGGACGGGCTCACATCCAAAAACAACGACTTGCAAAGCGCGATTACGACTCCTTCCCCGGACCCTCCTCCCCTCTACAACGCAGATGAGCGAAATCGATTTTGATATACTTCCACTGCAACTTTTTTTCTTTGTTTTCTTTTTCTCGTTCTTCCTTTTTTTGTTGTTGTTTTGAGCTTTCAGCGAGGTCGATTGACAATGTCTTTTTGTTTGTCACCGTCGCTTTGGTCCATCCGCAGAGAAGGACCCGGCACCTGCAGCAAATTCACACACCGGGGCTAAGTCATTCGTTTTGCTGTCGTCCATCCTTTGCGTCGAGTTGCTTGCGTATATATGTTATTTGGCGCTACAATGGATTGTCAACAACCAGGGATGTGGACTTGTTTCCATCCGGGTCAATTTCCTCAAGCAACTTGTTGTTCTAGAATTAAAACCATGCGGTTTTGCGTAATGCATGGGCCATTCTGTGTGAATGCATAATGGGAACAAAGGAAAAGCCTAGGGCATTGACAACAGTGGTCCCGTCAAACTGACTTGACTCTTGACTAGGCAGATTTGTCAAAACCGGCATTCAATTCAACCACTTTGCATGCATGCATGCAAGCGTTCAGACTATGAATATGTTTTCCCCAGGAATCATACTTTTTCCAACTTTTTTGACACTGGCAATGTAGTTATAGGTACCAGTGAAGAAGAAATAGAGGGAAGCCATGCTTCTGCCAGTCCAAAGTACCAGCTTGAAAATCACAAAAAAGTCCATAAAATACTAATTTATTTGTCAAATTTT